CCGGATGCTTAACACTTATTTGAGTGAATGGAAATAACCATATTATCTCCCCCTTTCCCTCACAATGTTTGCTTGGCACTTTGTGGTTGTAGAAGAATCCCTTTTATATATATGTTTTACTTGTATATTCACTCTTCTGTTTTATGTGTGTCATTATATTCTCACATATTCTCAACAGTCTTTTCGTTTTTATTATAGCAATTACTCGTTTTGCTGTAACCTAACCCTAAAACAACTAGCCTATGTTTCAGTCCCTCTCTACAACTACTCATTCGTTCACTAGATGGCGTCAATGACTATTGGGTGCACTACACTACACTAAGAGTTGTATGCACAATTGAAGAGTTTCATTCATGCTCTCACACAGTCGTTATTATTTTTTATGTTGTTTAGGTTGTAGCAAAGCAACCAACCAGCACACACAAAAACACACACACACACCATAACTTCCTAAATTTCAGGTTTTATCATTCTGGTTTATTCCCCACAACGTATGCCTATAGGGAACAAGCCTACCCGGACCACACACACGCGCGCGTTTACTACATCTAAATGCGGACATAGACCTCTATGGTTTTTTATAGCTAGCTAAATATAAAAGTAATAGATTCTATACAGTAGCTCTAGCTTAGGCTAATAACCGTAACCGTTCTGCAGTTTTACAAATTTCTTTACTTTATTTCTTTTTTATATCGTTTTTACAAATGATGACGTTCCCAAAAGGATGTTTTGTCAGATTTAGCTCAATTCTGGGTACATTTGTCCCCCCCCAATTTATGGTTAAGTATTACACACATAGGCCTACATCTTTCTAATGCGTCGCAAGGCCACCTTGTGTCTTTTAGCATAGCCTACATTGATTCTGGAACAACCTCGGCTTAAACCTTCTCTTCAGTTGTTGCGACCAGGGCTGGGGAATGAATGCGTGCAATTTCTACGTTAGAAGCTCAGTTCACCTTTTAGCTCTACTATATTTCTATGCGTCATGTGGAGTAGGCTACAATGAGGTATGCAGCACGAGTTTAGTTAAAATTGTGTTCAGCCTCCTAAGTTTTAAAAGTAGGCTACTTAACGAACACATTCCTCGTGGATAAAAGTAACAGTGTCCCAAACTATAGTGAAGATGTTTCATAGCCCATGTCTTATGTGTGAAAATATATCTAGCTACACTGTAAAAAAAAAAACGTTAAATTTACAGGAAAACCCCATAGCAGCTGTGGTTACCAGAGTTTTCCTGTTAAAAATACGGTAGCAACGTTTTAGGTTTTACAGACTTTTAACTGTTTATAATTTTACAGCAATAAACTGTATTTCATTATCTGATATAATGTTAATTTACTGACCTTTTGAAGTATTAATATCTGTTTTTTTCCATTGTAATACACTGACAGCCAACAATCACAGTAGTGATGACAGTCAAATGGTCAACCAAAGCTCATCATAAGCAGCTCTTCCACAAGAAATTTAATACTAATATATAGAAGCTGCACAGTCTCATTCACACAAACATTAAACACCATCATGGTAAAATGTTGAAATTTAAAAAATGCAATAAGCATTAATTTAAAAACATTAAATGTAACATAAAACCCTGATGTACATAACTGATTAAAAAAAACTAAGAAAATTATGAAGAAACAGTTATTTAAAATACATCAAATGTGAAGTGTCATGGAGGGAATTGTGGGAATGTCAATTTACATTTTTTCACTGTAAATTATACAATGACTTGTTCTTTTTCACTTCCAAAAACTGTAAATTTAACGGTATTTTACAGTAAAATTACATTAAATGTACCATTATATATATCACAGTTATTTACCGTATATAGTAAGGAAACTTTCTGTTAACCAATTAACAGTTTTTCACTGTAGCATTTTTACAGTCTTTTACCGTTAAAATCACGATCATTTTTTACAGTGTACTCTTCGTGCACAAGGCAATACGCCCTGGTTGCGACCTGATTTGTCATTGAAGAAACCTTGTCAACCAGGAATGTGTCAGTGAAGATAGCCTATATTAAAAGGAAAAAAAGTATTTTGCCATTAGAGGAACTCCTTCTCTCGAACATTTTATAAAGGGATACATAACGCCGAGTAGACAGGCCTATGTATTTCCGATTAATATTCTAGGATTGCATATGGAATTTAATAATGTGTCAACTCTTAGTTAGACTCTCTGTAAACATCAAACAATAGGCCCATTCGCTTTTATTTAAATTAGCAGTCTGACATAAGTAGTTTAATTACTAGGCTATGCATAAAGTTCCATTAAAGTAACATTACAGTAAGGTGACTATTTTTTTTTTAAATGTATTTTTTATTAGGCTATGTGTTTTTTTTTCAGGGATGTTATTACAAACATCATAGGCTATTTGCAATGCGATTTGAATCTGGATTAGAGCTAGCCTATAAAAATATAAATCCCGTAGAACAACATAAAGGATAATCCAGTTCTGGTATTGCACCTGAAGGCCAAAATAAAAAATTTTTTGGCCGAATCATATTAACTGATAATATAAACAAATAGGCCTAGGCCTAGTATACATGTCGGTGTAGTGAAATCTACCGAATTGTAGGCTAATTGCTTAATTGTCTTCTTGAGTCAATTCTAAACAATGTAATTTTTAATATTAATAAAATGAAGAAAAAAAAACTTTTTTTAAGCTGTCTAAAATAAAAATAGATTTAAAGGTTAAAAACGACGAAGGAAAGTAGTTTGTCAGTCGACATTTAAAGCCAGTTATAGGCTATGTGACCAATACGCATTAATTATTGTGCCTGTGGTTTAGTGTAACATTTTCTTTTTTATTCATCTATGGCTATCCTATTTGAATTTTCCATGAGACCGAACTATTTTGACAGAACAAGCTAAAATAAAAAATGCAGCTCTGTGGAAAGTCAAAGTTAAAACTGTTGCCTTTAGGAGCAATTTTTTTTTTTTAAAGAAGAAAAAAAGAAAGAAAGAGATAAGAGCGATGAGAGAGGTGGTGAAGGAGACTGGTGATGGAATGCAACTAACGCAAAATTGCACGACTGTTAAACGTCATCTCCTCATAAACATGTTTTCCAGCATTAACTCAGCGTATAAGATTGCATTTATAGCGTATTAGCCTCACTACTGAGAAAGCTTTTCTTTACATCTTATGCCCGAATTTTTTACGACCTGTCCGCCTCTCCCAAAGCCTGCATAGACAACATACTGTAGCCTAAATGTAGCATTACAGGCACTTGTTGATTTCTAAAAAGGACTAGGACAATATTAGCCTATAGGCTATGCTACTTTAGCTATTCTATGGGGATACAAACCTTGTTTTTTGAGAATGCTATAATGCAACAAACGTGGTGTCTCCTAGGTTCATGGGGCTGCTCAAAATAATTACTACCATCTTGTTTGAAAGAAAGAAATAGCCTACTTTGCGTGTGAACAGAGTTGAAAACTAATGTGATCCCGTGGACACTAACGTATTAATTAATACCACATCAAAACCTGTAAAGATGTAGATTTATGAGAGTAAAATACAAGCTTTTACATATATGCATTTGGATCCTTTTATCCAAAGCGACTTACACCCTAACCCTGTGGGAAATAAAGAATGCAGCAAGCGATAGCCCATGAAACATCACATCAGCTCCTTTTTGGATGAGTGTGAACAGATTTGTCTATAACTGTTTGGCTATATATTAGACCTCAGAAGAACTGGTTAGAGTGTTAATATCATGATTGATATTACATCTACTAAATGTTGAGCAGTTCGTGTTATGGCATTGTTAATAAAAGAAGTTTCCTGAATCCAAGCTTTTGCAAAACATTTTGATGGCGTGAAAGTACGTCGATAAAAGTCATTAAACTGTATTTAGATTCACATTCAATTGAATGACTATTTCACGATATCACTTTCACAAACTGCAACTTATTCTTTCACTGTCTAAATCATATTATTAATAATAATAAAAACAATAAAATATATAATCTATCTATCTATATCTAAAAATATCTAAATAATAACTTTTTTACAGTGTAGGAATACAATTATCATAAAAAGAAGGAACATTCGGTGTAATTTGTGCAGCATTGGACTATTTATGTATTTGTAACATGGATAGCTACTATGGAGTACAGTGAAATAAGATCTGAATATCAGATTAGCTAGAAACACACTGAAGTTTCTGAACATTGAAAAAGTATTTAAAAATAATAATAATTCAGGCTGCGCTTGTATTTGTAGTCTGTCGAAAATTGGGCATAACAAACTAAGCATAAAGGATATAGGCCTATATCAAAGTTTGAAGTAATCTGTCAGTGCAGTGGTCAAATCCTTTGTCTTTATATTTTTTACCATCATCGCATTAACTGTTATAACGTCGAAAAACTATAACTTCCAAAAGATTAATCAAGAACACAATTTAAAACTATTTTTTTACTTTCGATACCACCACGTGACCAAATGCATGTCTTATAAACAGATCAAATCTGGACACCTGTCCAACAAACCATTGCACAGCATGTAGGCTAAAACAAAACCATTCAAACATTTGCTTTGCTCGGTGAATGAAACTATATGATGAGTTTGGAGTTTATTGTTTATTGATCCCAAAGGTTACATGCAGTCGCTTTCCAAAAGTAAAATACAAATAAAAACGAAGAGATGCCCCATAGTCGTTGGTATTAAAGCATTGCATTAAACGAAATCCCATTCAAATGAAACGATGAATGGCCTTTAAAACATTTTTAAAATGTAAACAAACGGAATATGCGACTGAGGATTCCTGGGTCAATTGCAATCTAAATTAATAACGATATCAAATAATGTTGATATCAACAATTAAGACGTTTTATCATGTTTATTAACAATAGATCATGGCATTACATTCTAGAAAAATACCTCTATCAAGGCCCTCCATATCAGCTTTGCAAGTAGGTCAGTCGACAAACATCCATAACTCTCTTTGTCCATCGCTTGTCTCTTTTGTTTTTGTTTTATACGTGTCTTGAGATGTTTACGCTAAACGTTCACGTACAAGCGTCCTTTTGAAAGGGTCCACATGTTTAAGAGCCAAGGTCGACCAAGTTTGATGACATAGGGTTCAGTATAGTGTCGTGTAATGAATGGTGGTGGTGATGCACGGAATCAGCACTAGGCACTGGGATGGCGCTGGGACCAGGTGGAGGTGCGAGGCCGTGGAGGGACTGAAGTCCGGAGTTTGACGTGAGGAGCAAGGCCGGGCTTGACGAGGTGTGATCTGGAGTACCAGACGGCGTTTTATCGTCGTCCGAGCTTCCTAAAATAGTCTTATTTCCATTCATGGAAGACGTTAATGGGTTGTGACTGTTTGTGTTCGAGTTCTCATTATTCTCCCTGTGAAAATGAAAGTGAAGAGTTAGGGTTAGAGCTTTAGTATTCAAAACTATACACTGTAAAAAAAATAATATGATCAATAAGTTATGAAACATGTGTTTTTTTTTTTTTTACATTGCTTTAATTCATCAAAATAAGTTAAGCAATGTTCAACTTTTTTATAAGTTATACAAGATTCAGCTAATTTTTCAAGTCAATTTAATGTAATTTAAGTTGAAATTACTTAAACATCCAAGTTAATTTTACTTAAATTAAGGCAGTAACTTTCCTTTTCTTTTACAGTGTATGAGGCTATAATTAACATTTATGTCTTTGACATTGCAGGAGCAACTAACAAACAAACAAACAAATATGAACATATGTGGTTAACATCGGTTTCTTCTTATAATAATAATAATAATAATAAATGTCATAGGCTAATTCATAAATTCGTTTAATTCTAAAACAACAATTAATATTAGTAAAAGTTGAAGACAGTTGGTTCTGTAGGTGTGAAATATTAGTGTAAATACTGTGTTAGGAAAAAGCATATTAAAATCAATAAAATAAAATAAAAGGACATTTTTAAAAAGTAGGCTATGTGCCCATGAATTAGGCTAGCCATAATATACCCCTTGACACAAATATAGGGCATAAACGATTTGTGTACATGTATGTGTCTTTATCAATCATTTGTTCTAATTCGTGTCGATATTAATAATTTACAATAAAAAACGTTCAAGCATATTAGCGAGCTAATGCAGGACAGGCCCTAATCATTTATTAATATGGGTAGGAAATAAATCGTCTAGGTTAAGAACCGTGCCCGCTACTGATTTTCAACCACAACTTGTCAAGTAAAGATTCTTTCATAAATTATTAATTAAGGATAAAGAATCGGGAAACGTACGAGATATTTTTAATGGTTTACACTGTGGTTTCAACTTGACTACCTCGCCTACGGGTGAAACAAGACACCCGTTAAGAAGGAGATTGCAACTGCACACATTCTAAACAAGAATCTACGTACAGATAAATCTCACAATCTGAAGAACATTCCAATTAATTAAAAATGGACGATTTCCCCTGAAGTTAATTACACCATAATACACACATTACGGTTTTTGTGCAATTTTTTAGAAAATGATATAGCCTAAAAATGTCGTTTAAGAAAAGTAAGCCTATATTGTCAAAAATAGTAGGCTATTGCTTAATAACTATATAAAGTGACATTAGAACTAGAGAACAAATGACATTTGACTGTGTGGCTATCAAAGGGAATTTTCTTTTATACAAGTTTCTTATATTATAGCTCACCTCTGGCTTAATTTCACGGCATGAATGAATGCATTCCACGTAAAGAATGCTTTCTAATTACGTTTAAACACATAGTAATAATAAACAGTTATTTAGCTGCAGACTATAGACCCGTACCTTTCTTTAGCCTCCGCTGCTCGGTCGCGTTGACGTCTGTTTTTAAACCAGTTACTGACTTGTGTTGTTGTTAGCCCCGTTGCCTCTGCTAGTTCCCTCTTCTCCCGCGGGGAAGGGTAGGGGTTATGAGTGTACCATTCCCGCAGCACACTCCTGCTCTTTTCTTTAAAGCAGTAACTTGTCTCCTCGCCGTCCCAGATGGAGCGAGGGAGCGGAAACTTTCTTCGGACGCGGTATTTCCCAACAGCCCCAAGAGGGCGGCCCCGGAGCTTCTCAGCCTCGACATAATGCGCTTTGAGCCACAGCTGCTGCAATTTCGGATGGTTGTGCGGAGAGAACTGGTGGCTCTCGAGAATCTTATAAAGCTCTCTGAAATTTCCCCTATGAAAAGCGACCACAGCTTTCGCTTTGAGCACACTCTCGTTCTTGTGGAGATGTTCGCAAGCCGGCAGAGACCACAAAAAGCGCCCGAGACGTTCAATGTTTCCACCCTGCTGAAGGACCTCGCAGACGCACGCCACTTGCTCTTGCGTAAAGCCGAATGTTGGAAGCATAGACATGGTTTGTCACGAATAAACGTCCACTTTTTCTGCTTATGTCTATTTTACCGATGACAGCGACAGTTCTTCAACAGATTTAAAGTAAAAATTTTAGGACGACTTCTCGAGTAGACGAAATCAAATCCCACTCCTGGCGAAGAGAGGCACAAAACTTTAGATCCGTTCAAGCAAGCATAATACACCGTATATCCATCTAAAGCACACGAAAGAAAGTTGTTCCTCCTGCGCGAGTCTCTCGCCACCTCTTCTATGTCGTTTCAGCATAACGCACTCCCGAAGAAAGACCTCGCTCTCTTGTTTTAATAATATTATTCTAAGCTGGCAAGAAAAGCGATTATGTGAACTGTGATTGGTTGGTTATCTGACCCGGGGATGATGAGGATAAGACAATAGTTTTAGTCAAATTATTTGCCATGGTTACGCTGTCATTCAAGGTAACCTGATATGCTTTGAGGTGGCTCCTTGGGCTGGCTGACAGATTATTCCCTTCATTTAGAGCCCGCCCACCGACATCGAAATATAGCCTCGACTTTCTCTGTATATTACTTTTTTTTTACCCGGGGGTTTGACAGACACTTCTAGCAACCAAAGAGCGCTGATCTGTGAGGTAGTGAGGTAGCAGCAGTTGAGATGAGAGTGCCAGAGCAGGATTGCGCTCCAGACGCTCTCCAAACCAAGGACCCGGAGTCCATAAGTGGGAGTCCATAAGTGAGTGACCATACGCAGAAAATCCACCCTGCCTATGCAAACCTTTCACTTTGTAACTGCATGGTCGATCACACCAAAACTATTTCAACGTTTGGGGAACTCTCAAAAATCATTCACAGGGTCTCTCTAACTCTTTTGCAGTATCATTACTGCAATCAAATAAAGAAAATCACAATATGACACAATATTTTTGCAAGAACGTCCAGCCTACATTTATCCATTTAGTTTATCTTTCTGTTCAATTCAGTATAGCTTAATCGGACTAGTTGTCCTGTGTTATGCATTATTTAGCAGTTGTTGAAGATAAAAAGGGGGGTATGTTTCTCCATGTGCACACGCGTGGATGCCAGGCATTATGGACTAGAGTGGAACAGTGTTGGAGGGCGTTTTTAAGTATAGAGCGGTTTTCAAGGATACACATTAGAATGAACAACGATCATAGGGATAGGAAACACTGCGAGGGACGATTGTGCGGGTAAGACAATTTAGATTTATTAAAAATGCTGTTGACGAAAGTTAATCGAAGTAGATGTTCATGTACATTATATGCATATTTATTATGAACCAAGGCTATAGAGCATTGTTTTTCTTAAAACATATTTAGCGAAAGTGTTACAGCTCCGAGAGGGAGAGGCGCATATTTTAATGATGCCTGTTACGCACACCATTATTGGCATATCATCTGTCCATGTCTGTTGACTGAACTTTAACTCACCGTGTACCGTGGCATAGAAACAAAGTTCTGCTTTCATCAGGAACACTCTGATTTCAACTCAATGATTCTTGAGGCCACAAGAAAGTTAAGCAAAATCATATATTACATGAAATAAAAAAGCTGACACTGTTGAGACATGCCAGTCTTGTTATAAGAGAGAGAAAATTGCTTCGTTTAAGGTCTACTGTGTTTGCAGTTTTATACTGCACTGGTGCAGTGAAGGCCTGTGATGTGGCTTGTGAGTGAAAAAGACTTCAGAACTTATTCAAAACACGTCAAAGCATGTAACATTCTATCGTGGAAAGATTACAATGCTAAAATTCCCATCCACCCTTTTAACTGGCAATTTTGCGTAATACAGTCGCAAGCTACACTGGTTCTAAATATCCATAGGCTAACTGCACGTTAGATGCAAGTTCTGACGAATAAATGATAAACAAGTAATCAATGTTTGTGACGCATTTTGAAGACATTCTTGTGATCTGATAAATCAAGAAAACTAGAATCTTTTGAATTCAATAGTTGATATTTTGTTAACAACAACAATTATTATTGTTATTATTACACAAAATATAAAATATAGAATTAGACATATAATTAACATAAACGACAACAATCCTACAGATTACAGGTAAAATGTTTAATGTTGAATGTAATTAGTGTAAATGACTGTGATAAGTAAATAAAAAAATAAATAAAAGCAAAGCTATTAATGCCAACCTCGGAGACAGCCACTGCCCTTGGAAATTGATATGAATGTATCATTGTTGCACTTTGCTGTGAGGAAACATTTCTTATGTTACTTTGATATCCTTACCTGATCTATGTGGATCATTCCCTGGACACTGAAACTATTACCAATATATATGGTTGATGACAGCGAATTTAAGACTATTGAACCAATTGATACTGATTTACATAAAATGATAATCTATAAAATACACTTTAACACCCAAGGCTATAGTGAGCTTATCCAGTGATATACACAAATTGAGGTATTTTACCAATCCTTTCCATTTGTGACATTTGTGGTTAAACTAAAACAGTACAGTGAAGCAATGGAAAACACACATTGAAAGGATTTTGGATGCTTTCTGTGTGTGTGTGTGTGGGGGGGGGGGTGTCACTGACAGGCCAAATCAAGGTACTCGTCTCGCCTTGACACTGTTTGTAAACGGCTTGTTTCCACGGATCATTTTGATCAGAACTTCGAAGGACCTGCGCTGCTCGTCTGCACGGTGATTATTACAATGCTGATGAATGGGGATCGCGTTTCGTCTAATAGCCGCCCCCTGTTTTGACAACCTCCCACAGCTAACCGGAGAGCGCGCAGCCGCGACCTCCACTAATTGGACTGATTATTGCAAGATGTTTTTTCCTCTCTGGAAAGCGCAGGGTGGCGGCAGTGCGCGGCTGCTCCGTGGCTTGCACCACAAGACCTGATGAGTAACATTCTTTCAGACATGTCATGTTAAGCGGGAATAGAAAGAATTAAACCCAGACGTGTGGTGTCAATGTGCGGTTCGGTGGAAGAAAAACAAGACACCCATCGTAATTAAATATTGAAATAACGTTTCAGCGCGGATAGATAAATTGCATTTAATAATAGCCTAATAATAATTAAAAAAAGTGTGCACAATGCAATAAATCATGAGATAGGAAGCCCTGTAACACTTTCCAATGTACTTCTAAACACACAAAGACTACAAAACGAGAGAATAGGCCTATTTGATATAGGGAGTGACTAAAACAAGTGCACACACAATGTCTGTTATGTTTTCAGAATTGTACTTGTTTTATATCTCTGATCCATTTTTTTGCTGTTTGTAAAGAAAAATATTTTCTATGTTTATCCTTTTAAATTATAATGCTTAAGGTTGTGTGTATGGAACATAATCATTTTAAACTTGCATTTGATGACCACATGCATTAATGCACAAAAAAACGATTGTGTAACTAGTTAAGACCTATCAGTACAGCACATTTTACTAATTAGTAATTTTCAGATTTAAAGATTTCGAAAATAGATAAATATTAGTATTTTATTATATCAAGGTTTGAGACATATAGCCCAAAACATAAATCGAAACATAAATGTATTACAACACACACCTCCTATTAAACATATTAAAACTCACACAATGAATGTACATTTGATTCGGTTGGTAACGAAATTTATTATATGATCTAGATAATTTTCTATTGTAGGCCGATGAGATCCTTACGATGATGTTGCCATATGCAACAAGTGCGTTTCTTCAAATGCGGGCTTGGACGCGTAACGGATTATTGGTGATGTATGCAACACATTTGACCATTTTTGGCTGTTCCTGTACACTTAACTAGCTTTTGTCTTGACTTGAAACTATTAGAAATGTGTCTGGTTTATTGGTGCACAACTTATTGTGACTGTGTTCTCCCAGGAGACTGTGTCGTGCGCGCGTCTTCTGAACGGTGGCATTGGTTGTCTCTCTGATTACTCTGAAACGCCAGTTGCGCCAGTCTCTCAACTCAAGAATGCAGAGATACAAATGTAAGATTAGCTCAAAATAATATCAAGCTTAATTCGTTATGAAAATAGCAGAAATGATACATGATGAAATAATGAGCACGGCAGCGGAGAAAAGTTTTTAATCATAATAAAATCCTCTGAATGTAAATTATAATTACTGGAGCATAGAAGTGAAATAAATGGCAAGGCAGATAATCTTTAGATGAGACAAAAACAACAAAAAGTCAAAACAGGTCAATTCAATGCTGGCATTTCTCTTGATATTGTAGGACAGTATTTAAGAAAGAATTGAAAAGAAAAAAGGACCCTTTAGTCAATAATTTGACATTTATAGTTTTATAAAGATGAATGAATAGAAAAGTATTTGAGGTATCTCACTGCTTGGGCTGTGTGTGTGCAAAAACATACGTTTTCTGAAGCTTTTTTTTAAAAAACATTGTGGTATGAAGTATGGTAATATTTAATACATCATAGGCTACCTGATATCAGTAATAATATTGCTGTTATGAAGTGTTAGAAGTGTGTATCGGTAACAGAGGTCCCTAAGGACTATGCTTACTGTAACATTACTGTGATTATAAAACAATCAGAAAGTTGTGCAGATACATTCTGCGATTTACAATGGATTACATGACTGAATTTATATATAAAAAACCCAGCTGAATGCATATAAAAGTAAGTTGTCTCATGAAGTGAAGAGGTAAGACAGAAGGTGACATACATTAATGTTGTACTGGATGGTGTGATCCTTATATCTTATGTGCAGGTGTATCATGTTTTTTCTAATGTAAGCTATTTTTCCAAATGCATTTATTTCGATTATAGCTTGTGCTTGATGAAATTACCCAGACATGGCATTTTAAAAGTATATATACATTTTCTGTAACTATAGATAAAAATAATTTAAGATAATTTAAGATAAAAACAGCTGTATTTGTAGAATTACTCTCAGGCGGCAATATGAAATCACATATTGTAAAGATCGCATGGCAATTGTTTGCATTTTGGTTAGATGTGTGTACAAACGTTTACATATTGTTGGCTCTCGGTACATGACTACGATTTAACAGACTTTCAGGTTAAGGAAACGCCTGTAAAATGAAAATCTTTGTCTCTGATAGAACATTTACAATGTGATTGAGGTTATTTGCATTTCACTACTGCCTCACTATTGCACAGTAGCAAGAATAATCACAGATTCAGCATATACACCATTTAAAGGAATGTTCATAATTGGTATAGTTATTTTTAACTTATACATCTCTGTCTTGGAAAATGTGATATAACAAATTACTGGAAAATATATTTAATCAAATGGTAAACTAATAGTGTAATCAGTAAGATGTATTAAACTGAGTTTTAACAGAACTGGCCCTTTGAAAAGTGGCTGTTGGTTGATGCTGAGAGAGGAGGCTTTTTCCAGGGATTGTTTTTCTTCAGTTTGAATATAACTGCTTTTGAAGAGTATGAACATATGTTCATATTACTTGCCTCAGTTTTCCATGTTTCACACTTCTCCAGGTCAGCATTAGTTTCTATCAACACCAAGGTCACTGAAAGAAAGGTCTGATGGCTGCTGTTTTGCACTTGTAGACAATAGGGGATATGCAAGTATTTCATGCATTTCTTGTGTGTTATGGCATTAACCTTGTATCACTTACTACTACCTGGTTGTTAATTAATATAAGAAATATAAATGAAAATATAAGAGAGACAAGAGCACAATAAAGCGCTCCGAGGCAATAAAGTAAATGAGACTATAATAATGACAAACTTACTTTTAAACATTCTTAATGTGCGTCTTTTATTTTCCATGACTTCAACGAGAAAAACAAAACAAGTTAGTTATCTCTCAGAAAATAATTTAGGGTTAAAAAAATTAAATATAACACTATTTGTTTATCAAAGCCACCTCTGAATATAGAACTAAATAAACTGTTGAAATACTCTATGCTTTTAAAAATATATGCCAATGTTAAAGTAAAGTGTGTCAGAATAAGCACACTTAGTTAAATCAATTCAATATCTCTGATTACATTGCATGAAAGACAACTTAATCTAATCTAATGAAAAATGTCTGATATTTTTAAACACATCATAACATTATATGCAACAACATGTATGCATGTTTTTATTCCTAAAAAAATATTAAATAGAACACACCTACTATTTTACACCTACTAAATATACAGTATATATTTTAAAAAGGATACATCCAGCCTGTCTAAATATACAAAACATACAAGCC